ATCCCCTCCTCCCACCCCAAGCCCCACCCCCATCTCCTACCTACTAACCTCATCCTGCCCCCTTGACCTGTTCGTCCTCCCTGGACTGACCTATCTCCTCCCTACCTCCCCATCTACACTTACCTCTACTGGCTCCATCCCCGCCTCTTTGACGTGTCTGTCTCCTTTCCACCTATCTTCTCCTCAATCCATCTTCTATCCGCCTCCCCCTCTCTCCCTATTTATTTCCGAACCCCCTTCCCCTCCCCCATTTCTGAAGAAGGGTCTAGGCCCGAAACGTCAGCTTTCCTGCTCCTCTGATGCTGCTTGGCCTGCTGTGTTCATCCAGCTCTACACCTTGTTATCTCAGTTTCTCCAGCATCTGCAGTTCCTGCTATCTCTCTACTACTGAATATAATTGCATCCCTGACAGACATTGACAATTTACTTCTGAGTTGATTTGATCCTAAGCTAAAAATGAAAGTGTGTTATTAAATAATTTTTGAATTCATGCACCAATTATAAATTAAAGGTCTAAATCATCCTTTGGTAGTACACAACTTTGGTATTGCTGAACAAAGACATTTTTTCAAAGCTTTCCATTTTGCATTTATCAGGACAATTCACAAAAATGCCGAACTAAGGGGGAGGAACAATATGTATCCCGTATGAGAGGAGAGAGCTGATTGGTAAAGGTGTTGCCATGGAGAGTTCAACAGTTAATGATGAATGACAGTTAACTGTTAAGCTTTGATTAAATTTCACATCAGGCATGTTGATTTTGGTGGTCAAGGCATTCCCCTGCGAAATAAACCTTAGAATGGCTATCACCTGTTTTATTGACTTGAAGCAGGTGCAATGTTTCTGCATTTTTTTTTCTATTTGCAAAGAACAGGGACCTATGTAATAATATATATCTATGAATATTTAGATATAACGGTGGGCTGCATAGAAGGCTGGCTTAGTGTACTTGTGCTTTTGAGGTTTAATTAAAAATCAATAAAATACGAAACATCCCATGAACCGTCACCTATCCATACAATCCCCTTTCCCCATAATGCCAGCCCATCATGGCCCCAACCCCAGAGTCTGTAGCCACATATAGCTGCCAATCAAACTGTGAAGTAGAAGGAATGACACCGTGGTAATGGATGGTTGTAAAATCAGCTGTACAGCAATAATTGAGAAATGGAAACCCTTGGGCTTATTTCAATGGACGGAGTGAGAAAGCAAGCAATATTTCAAACACTCCAGACATCTTTTTCAAAGATTTAAAAAAGTAGAAACTTTAAAACCTTTGACAGGTCCTTTTGGCAGCTCTATTTGACAAGTCTTCTTGTCAACTGAAATAAGCCCAAAGGTTTCCATTACTGGGTTAGTTCCCTAAAGTGCAAACATTTTCTTGTTGCATATCAGTACTCCTTCTCCGTTGGTCATTTTTGGGCTAGTACATTTATTTATATTTACTGTCATACTAAGCTTTCCAAAGTCATTATACTTGTCTAATATCGAGTCATTTCCTGAAGTTTGCTATTTGTATAGGTTTTTCACTGGAATATTCAGTTAGTCTCAGCTATGATAGTAAAATGGGAAAAATACAACCTTGTACTTTACATGGTTTAATCCTTTGAATTTGTGAAGCTTTTAAGTTTTACATTGCTGTTGTACTTCCAGTGAAAAATTTGACAGAAATAGTTCCAAAACTCTTGGACAAACTTCGAATTGTGGAACAGAAAAAGCCAGCCAGCAATATTTCTGCCAGCATTTTGCGAATTCGAGAACTCATTGCACAGACACGCAATGTGGCCAGCAAGGTGAGAATATCTACTCACTAAAGTTAATGGTAGAATAATTCAAACACCATGTTTGTCTTAATTAAAAGCAAAATACTGTGGATGTTGGCAATCTAAAATGTAAACAGAAAGGTCTAGAGAAACTCATCACAGCTGGCAGCATTTGTGGAGAGAGAAACAGTATCAAGTCCAATATGACTTTTCTCTTTCCACAGATGCTGCCAGACCTACTGAATTTCTTCAGCGCTTTTTGTTTTTATTAGTGTTCATCTTATTTCAAGCTAATTTAAAGCACATTAAAATGAATAACATATCAGAGCAATATGTATGCAACTTACTGTATGAGTACAAATCGATCATGAGAGATTTCTTCTCACTTGCACAGGCAAAACGTGGAATTTTTCAATTTTTGTTTAAAGTACAGGGGCAAGTGTGATAGTTGTTCACTGCAAAAACACAGCCCCTGCTGGGAAAACTCATCCATCATCCTCCAATAATCTCATTCAGAGCTGATAGGTGAAAATGGGCAAGTTCCTCTGCAAATCTCAGACCTCGAAACTGGCATCCCTGGTGAGTCAGAGGGTGGCAGCTTTTTGGTTGTAAAGTCTGCAGTTATGCCTAACCTTTGGTAATTCAACGACAAGTAGTTAAGTGCTTTTTATACTATTTTCACAGGCTGATGGTTGCAGCAAGATGGGGTTTGGATAGAAAGGCAGGTGTGGTTTTCAGAATCCATCCCCCCTTCCTCTCCATCCATGTCTCAGATTTCCCCAGACTCCAGGGCAACTCTCATCCCCAACCCAAAAAGCAAGTCCCTTCTCATTGCCAACCCATGGCACCCACCAGAGAGCTTGGTAATCATGGAGGATGGAAAGACCCTATTTATTGTCTATCTAAGGGCACTAATTGGTGACAGGTTGAGAAGGATGCCTATGGACCTTTTGGCTCAAAACTTAATTTATGATGGGGTAAGAAGAGGTGAGATTTTCTCCAAAACCAGTTCACTCAATTATTGCCCTTTCTCGTCATCTCTCTCACCACTTCCAAAGAGGGAAAATCACGTCCACTGTTTACCTGTTGTTTAATTACAGTTCATGGAGGTACAAATTTACTTACAGCATCAGTGTAGGAAGCAAATGATATCCTTGTTTCACTTCAGGTTCAAGTCTCCATGAAATTTGATGGCCAATCCGCTGTGGAACTTCATTCAAAAGCAAACTTGGAAGAGCTCAAGTCTTTTACTTCATTGGGTTTGTTCATGCGAGTTCCTTCATTAAGTGAACAAGCTCATGATGCCAACAAAGACAGATTCATCATGTACCTTGGAAACAAAAATGTAAGACCATATCGATCTTAGTGTGACAGTCCAAAAAATGGTATCATACGCAAGGAATTTTAATGCATTCAAAATTCTGCTGAACAGGCTGGATTAAGTTTTTGGTTTGCACATTTATTTTTGCTGTGTTCCAGGGAAGACAAGATTACATTGGTTTGAGTATTAAAAATGACAATTTAGTTTATGTCTACAATCTTGGAAATGGAGATGTTGAAATTCCTTTGAACTCAAAGCCTGTGAGCACCTGGCCAAACTACTTCAATTTAATCAAAGTAGAAAGGTAACTCCCTTCTGATCTCTCTTATGGCCAAAGGAATTTTTGGTGAAAATTTTTGAAACTGTAACTTTCTAGTATTAACTGTCATATGAATCTGGGTAATGGTATTTTTTCTGTTTTCTGATTTTTCTGTTCAATTTATGTCTTATCCAGATATTTCTTTATCAGGTCGGAACTGAAACAACTAGAGTAGGGTATTGCAGTTTTTGAGCTTAGGTTTGAAACATGTGCAGGCAAAATCTTTATGGGTTGAATGGGTCAAAAATGAGCTTTGGTGACCAAAAAAAGAATAGAGTGATAGCGTATATGTCAATCTGTTGCCTCTGTTTCCAGTCCATTTCGTGAGGGTAAATGATGGATCAATGAGAGGATGGGCTAGTCAACCCACCCACAGCAAATCGAGCTAATTAAAATGCTAAGGGGCTGATTGGAAGTTGACCTTCACAAATGTTCATGGGACCAGGCGACCCTTGGAAGCAATCATATCAAGACCAGTTTAAACGTGGCAAGAAGAGGGTTGGCTGCATTTGAATTCTGAAAATCAATGTGTACATTTTATTGAAGAAACTTAGTGGAGCAGAGAGGAGTCTACTCCATCACAGGACAAATATAAGAAATCTTTACTAATTGTCACAATTCCCCGGTCATAAAAAAATCTGTATCCAATGATAAATGTCAATCATCATTGCTTGCATAGTAGTAAGACAATGCAGCATAACACCAATAAAGATCCTAGATTTTATTCAAATGAAAAGTTAACATTGAATTTTATAAAAATTAGGAATGTTATATCACGAGCAGTTGATTCACACTTTGAGGTTATCATCAAAGCAGGAAATATATATGAAAATATACCATTGAATCACTAGCCTAAACACCCACTCTGACCTGCTCTGGCTGAAGTCTGTAATATCTACAGGCTGCACTGTAGTAACTTGTAAAGTTTTCTGTAGCAGCATCTCCCAGGCCCTAACCTTTTGCAGGTGACCTTTTGCAATTAGAAGGACAATGGCAGTAGATGCATGGGAACAACATAAATTCAAAATCCCTCCTCAAATCACACCCTGTTCTGATTTGAACAAACATTACTGTGCCATTGTCATCGGTGAATTAAAATCCTGCAATTCCTACTTGACAGCATTGTAAGAACACTTACACCTCATTAAAGAAAATGCATTTATAGTGTGCCTTTTGTAACCTCGGAATGACCAAAGAAACTTCAAAGCCAGTGAAGTACATTTGTTTGAAGTGTGTTCTCTACTCTAGGGTAGTAAACATAGCAGACAATTCACACACAGAGGTAGTAAGAACTGCCGATGCTGGAGTCAGAGATAACACAGTGTGGAGCTGGAGGAACATAGCAGGCCAGGCAGCATCAGAGGAGCAGGAAAGTTGACACTTTGATTCAGGACCCTTCTTCAAACAGATTCTAATAGGAACGTATTAATCCAGTTCAGTGGTATTGATTGAGGGATGAATTCTGGCCCATACACTGGGAGAACTCCACTATTTTTTTCAAATAGTACTTTGAAATAATATGCACCCATATGAAAGAGCAGAAGAGATTCAGCAAGATGGCTTGCCTCACCTTCCCAGGAACAACTACAAATGGGAAGTGAAATATAGTTTTTACCAAGAATGCCTCCACCTTGAGAACTTTTCTTTTAAAGAGAGCTTGGAGAGTTTCCAACTAACCTAACCTAAAGTCAAAAATAAAACAAATCCGAAAGTTAGCTTCAATGAAAAGTAAACTTGAGTAAAGTGTTAAATGGATATTCTCCATGGCAACACTTCACCAATCAGAAGGGCCAGGAGGATTAGAGAGTTGTGAAGAAATTTATTTTCATCAAATGGGTGGTGGGAGTGTGGAACTCACTGTCTTTAAAGGTGGTAGAGACAAAAAAAGTCTAAAAACATTTAAGAAGGTTATGGAGCGTGGAAAATGGGATTAAAATAGTTAACTCTTGTATCTGACTGGCAAAGACTCAATGAGCTTAAGAGCCCTTTTCTGTACCATAGACCTCTATGATTCATTACGTTTTAAGTGTATTTGTTTAAGCATGTTCAGTGGTTGACAACAACTCTTAATGATTTATTCTATACAAGTATTTCAGAAATTAACCAAACCAAAGAAGTATACAAACGATATGATTTTTACTGTGTTCTTTTCCTTTCTGGCAGAGTTGGAAGGCATGGAAAAATACAGCTAACTGTACCCAGCCCAGGTAGCACAGAAGAGCAAAAATTTATCCAGAAAGGAGCAAGTGAAGGCAATGATTCTCTATTAGATCTAGAAGCTGATAACTTGGTTTTCTATGTGGGAGGAGTACCTCCACATTTCCAGGTATGTTAAATGGAGTCAATTCTCAGATGGCACTTTAAACTTACAGTGTATTTTCCTTTTAAAGTTTTAATATTTTAAACTTTAATAAACTTGACCAACTTTGTCAAAGTGTGTCCGAAGCAGTAATAGTCTTTAATTGCTGTGGCACCTTTTGTTATACCAGTTAAACTGAAACCAATAGAATTCAAAAGTAATTATTTTAGTCTTCTGTTTTTCCCCAAAGCCCTTGAGCTATTTGTCCTTTATTCACAAGCCCCTTTCCAGGGAATTCTTTCAATGTCTTCAGCTGGATTGCTTTATTGCAAATGTGGTACTTCTTGATTGACTGAAAATTAATGAAATGCTGTCACTGCACTATATGCTTTCAGTAGCTGACATCAATATTGCTCAGATGGTCTGATTAGATACAGTACACAATCTATGTGCCCATCTCTTCCTATGCTTTGCTTATTTTTTTCTTTTGGTTCATAATGCTTATTCTGGGTAATATTTTGGAGTGTTAAGAGTTTATTTGGTTGTCTTGCGCTTAGTTCCCCATGAAATAGTAAATAGTTTTCTTTCAATTTACTGTTTATTCAAAGTAGTTAACAAGCTCATTTGCAGGTGCTTTCATAAACTCATTAAGTTCAAGAAACTGACATCAGCTCCAAATCCAATTAAATTATTTTTAATGCAAATTTAGGGTTTTCTCCGGGAATGAGTGAATTTAAATATCATGTTATTCTCTACAAACCAAGGCTAAGTTTGGGGTTTGAATCTTGCACATGGGCTTGTTGCCCCTGGAACGAACATTCCCAATGTGGCCAAAAATAGGTTAGGTACTCGCCTGTAAATCCTTCCAATATGCCTGAGGGCGGGTGTTAAGAATGGGAAAGTCTCCTAGTCAGCCATCTTGCACAAGACAAACTGCTCCAGTACTTTGTCAATAAGCAACCATTTAGCAAATCTTGTTGCAGCTGTATAAAACTCTAGTTAGGTCACATTTGGAGTATTGTGCGCACTTCTGATCACTACACTTATAGGAATGATGTGGAGGCTTTGGATAGGGTGCAAAAAGGGTTTATCAGGATGTTGCCTGGATTGCAGTGTAGTAGCTATAAGAAGGGGTTGGACAAACTTGGATTTCTTTCGCTAAAGTGTGTTATGGTCGAGGTGCGACCTGATAGAGGTATATAAAATTATGAGAGGCATGGATGGGCTGGATAGTTGGAGTCTTCTTCCCAGGATGGAAATGTCAAATACTAGGCGACATAGGTTTAAGATGAGAGGGAAGAAGTTAAGAGGACATGCGCAAGGAAATTGTTTTGCACAGAGAGCAGGAGGTGTCTGAAACATACTGCCAGGGAAAGTGGTAGAAGCATTTGTAATAGCAATGTTTAAGACACATTCAGGCAGACACAACAAGCAGGGAATAGCAGGAAACAGACCATGTGCAGGCAAACAGAATTAGGTTAGAATGACATGGTCGGCACAGTCAAAGGGTTTGTTCTTGTGTTCCACTGTTTTGTGTTGTATGCTCATCAAGCAATCCAAGGGAAGCCTATGGCCCAGCCTTCAGAAATGAGGCCAGATTAAAAAAATGGAGTCTAATAAGAACAGTAAATATCCAATAAGATAATAGAAAGAAGTGAATGCAACATCACTTTATGGAGCAGTTAGTGTAATGTTATCCTACAAAATTATGTAATTTATTTGTACTCAGTCATGCATTAGCCTTCTTATCAGACAGAAGAAAACATTATGTCCTGGTAAAGGTTACAATAAGAGGTTGACAACTTAATATTAAATAAAACTTACTGTTTCTGTACCTAGCCTTTTATAAGGTTATGGCTATGTTTTGCATATTAATGGATTTTACTGAACAGAAGAATTTTCCTTTCTTCTTTGTCACAGCTCCCTGCCAGCTTAAACTTTCCAGGCTTTGTTGGCTGTATAGAACTGGCAACACTTAATGATGACATAATAAGCCTCTACAACTTCAAGCGGACATACAACCTGAACACAACAGTTGAGCGACCCTGTACAAGGTAAACTGCTCATTATATCTGTCACACTTCAGCAAAGTGTAGTGTTTTTGTTTTTGTAATACCAGGAGTAACCCCTTCAGTTGGCCACAGGATTGAGACCAGATGCTGCTGGACCCACAGTTTCTCACCATTGGCCATTGTCCAGTTCATGTTGTAATCTATTAAATAAGACCATAAGATTTAGCAGCAGATGCCATTCAGCCCATCGAGTTTACTCCACTGTTCAATCATGGTTGATATGTTTCTCAATACCATTCTCCTGTCTTTTCCCTGTAACCCTGGATCTCCTGACTGATCAAGAATCTATTTATCTCGATCTTAAAGACCCTTAATGCCCTGATCCCTACAGCCTTCTGCAGCAATGAGTTCCACAGATTCACCACACTCTGGCTAAAGATTTTCCCCCCCTATCTCAGTTCTAAAGGGTCATCTCTTCACTCTGAGGCTGTGTCTTAGGGTCCCAACCTCTCCCACTAGTGGAAACATCTTCTCCACGTCCACTGTATCCAGGCCTCACAGTATTCTGTAAGTTTCAATGAGATGCCTTTATTATCGTTCTAAATTCCATTGAGTACAGACACACCATTTTCAACCACTCCTCACATGACAAACCTTTCATTCCTAGGATCATTCTTGTAAACATCTTCTGGACCCCATCCAAGGTCATCACATCCTTTCTTACATATGGGGTCCAAAATTGTTCACAATATTCCAAAGGCAGTCTGACCAGAGTCTTATATAGCCTCAGCAATCTCTAATCTTGCATTCTAGCCCTCTTGAAATGAATACCAATGTTGCATTTGCCTTCCTAACTGCCAGCTGAACTCACACAATAACCTTAAAAGAATCGTGAAATAGGACTCTTAAGTCCCTTTGTGTTTCAGATTTCTGAAGCCTTTCCCCATTTAGAAAATAGTCCGCGCCTCTAGTCTTCCTATCAAAGTGCAAGACCTCACATTTTCCCACTTTGTATTCCATCTACCATTTCTTTGCCCAAGCCGTTCCAAGTCCTCTGCAGCCTTCCCACCTCCTCAATATTATCAGTCCCTGTACCTATCTTTATGTCATCTGTAACAATGTCCTCAGTTCCTTCATTCAGATCATCAATGTATAACATGAATAGTTGTGGTCCTAAAACAAATCCTTGTTGAACTCCACTAGTCATCAGCTACAATTCTTTAAAAGACCCCTTTATACCCATTCTCTGCCCGCTGCCACTCAGCTAATCCTCTATCCATGCCAGTACCTTGACCCTAATACAATGACCTCTTAACTTATTCAGCAGCCTCCTGTGCAACACCTTATCAAAAACCTTCTGAAAATTCAAGTAGATCAAGTCCACTGACTCTCCTATGTCTAATTTGCTTGTTACCTCCTCAAAGAATTCTAATACATTTGTCAGGCATGACCTACCCTTGACGAAGCTGTGCTGACTCAGCCTTATTTTACTATGCACTTCTAATTACTCTGCAATCTCATACTTAATAATGGACTCTAAAATCTGACTGAGGTCAGGCTAACCAGCCTATAATTTCCCAGCTTCTGCCTCCCTCCCTTCTTATCCAGGGGTAATACGTTAGCCATTTTCCAGTGCCTGACTCCAGTGATTTCTGAAAGATCACCACCCCAGTGTCTCCACAATCACCTCGGCTATCTCCTTCCGAACTCTGGGGTGGAGTACATCTGGTCCGAGTGATTTTTCCACCTTCACCTTTCAGCTTCCCCAGCACTTTCTCCTTAGTGACGGCCACTACACTCACCTCTACCCCTGACTTTCTTGAAGTTCTGGTCTGCCACCAGTGCTTCCACTGTGAAAGCTGATGCCCAGTACCAATTCAGTTCCTCTGCCATTTCTTTATTCCTCATTACTACTTCTTCAGCCTCATTTTTCAGACATCCAATGTCTACCTCTCTCAGTGTCAAAATTGCTACTCACCCACAAGTAGACAATTGAGGAGATGTTTCCCTTGCAAACTGAGGGTTCCAATTGGCATGTGGCCTTTGTATATCAGCCCAAAATATCATATCAAAGCCACTAGGGACAGGCAATAAATTCTGGGCCAGACAGCAACATCCTTGTCTCATGTAAAATTGATTGTGGATCAATAAATACAACATCACAAGTGGAAAGGTGAGACCCATGATTAGTCCCACAAAGAATCCCTTCCAGCGATACCTGTTGTGGTCACAACTGAGGCAGTTGGCTGTCCCATACAGGTTTTTCTGCTCCACAATCAAAAACAAGTAATTGTGGCCATTTGAGATTTAAAAGGTGAACTGGCCTCTTGGTCAGTGATAGCCCTTCATTAAGGCTGCTTCTCTTACTTCCATCAACAGCTCCCACCTTGGCTGCAAGGCGGCTGTTGTGTCAGTGCTAGTGAGCCTCTCATTAGCCCTTCAGTCTCAGGAGCTAGTCTTAAAATTTGTGAGGCACACTCCCTACCATTAATTGGCAGACACATTAAAAATTGAGGTGTGTATGTGGAGCCAAGGTCTGTTTAAATCAAATCTAGAATAGAACAAGTAAGATAGTTTATATGTAGCATCTGGAATAAAATTAATGAATTAACAGCTCAAATAAAGGTTAATTGGTTTGAACTTATCGCAGTTATGGAATCATGGTTACAAGGTGATCATAGTGGAGAAATAGATATTCAGGAGTATGTGACTTTTCACAAGGACAGGCAAGAAGGAAAGTTAGGTGGGATAACTCTGTTAATACAGGATGGGATGAGTACAATAGCAAGAGATCTTGCATTGGAACATGGAGTATCCAGATGGGTAGAGACAAGAGATAAGAGGAAAAAGATACCGATGGATGTAGACTACTGGCCCCTTAACAGCAACTATACTATAAGGCAGAGGATGAATCATCAGATAATGAGCGCATGTAAAAAAAAAGGCAGTACATTTATCATGGTTGACTTTAAGTTTCATGTACATTGGGAACGTTCAATTGTCAGATGTAGCCACATAATAGAAATATTTCTGTGTATTTGAGGCAGTTTCTTAGAAAAATTGTTGTGGATCCAACCAGGGATCAGGCTTTTTTAAATCTAGTAATGTGTAGTGGGACAGGTCCAATAAATGATCTCAGAGGAAAAAGATCCTTCAGAAAACAGTAACGATAACATGGTAGGATTTATATTCAGTTGGAAGTTGAGAAGGTTGGGTAAGAAACTACTGTGCTAAACTTAAATAAGGGTAATTACACATGAATGACATGAATGAGAGCAGAGTTGGCTGGAGTGGACTGGGAAAGGAGTTTGAAACAGAGATTGTTGAGGAATATAACAATGTTTCAGGCAATGGTTTATGGTTCACAAGAAAGAAATATTCTAATGAAGAAGAAGGATAAGCCAACATGGTTTATAAAGGGGAGAGAGGGATAGCATGAAATTGAAAGAGAAACCAAACATACAACATGTTGAAGATTAGTAGTAAGCCAGAGAATTGGGAAAATTTTAAAAAGCAACAAAAGATTACCCAAAAAAGGGAGAAAATAAACCTTGGAGATAAATTTGCAAATAATATCAAGACAGACTGCAAAGCTTCTTTACATATAAAAAAGGAAGAGTGAGGTAAAGTGAAGATAGTTCTGTTAGAGAACAAGACTAGGGAAATAATGAAATGGCAGAGGAGTAGAATGCATCTGTCTTCACAGTAGAAGAGACTAACTACATTCAAAAATACTAAATAATCAAGGAATAAAGGGGGGAGGAAGTAAATGCAATAACTATCACTAGAGAAAAGGTATTCGGGTAAGTAATGGGGCTAAAGACCAATACAGCCTGGACTTGATGAATGCATGCTAGGATATCAAAGGAAACAGCTACAGAAATAATGCTTGCTGTAGAATAGTAATCTTCTGAATTTGCTTAGATTTGGGAAAAGTCCCAGAGAATTGAAAAACTACCAATGTAACACCTTGATTCAAAAAGGGAATGAGATGCAGAAACAGGAAGCTATATCACAGATAGCAGGAACTGCAGATGCTGGAAAATCCGAGACAACAAGGTGCGGAGCTGGATGAACACAGCAGGCCAAGCAGCATCATAGGAACAGAAAGGCTGACGTTTCAGGCCTAGACTCTTCATCAGAAATATCACAGTTAGTTTTACATCCATTATTGGGAAAATGGTAGAGTCTATTATAAATTATCTAATAGTAGAACATTTAGAAACATATACTATTATCAGTCAGAGTCAGCATTCCTTCATGAAGGGGAAATCATCCCTTATAAATGTATTACAATTCTACGAAGAGGTAGCAAGGAGGATCAATAAAGGAGAACCAGTGAGTATAATATATTTGGATTTCCAAAAAGGCACTTGATAAGTTGCTACACATTAAGCTACTTAATAAGCTAAGAGCCTATGGTTAGAGAAAGTTGGATTTGGTACATTGGAATGGATGGGCGAATGGTAAACTAACAGGTGACGGAGTTAGGATAAAGGGGCATTTTCAGGATGGCAGCCTGTAACTACTGGAGTGCAACAGGGTTCATTGCTGGGGGCCACATTTATTCACAGTATGTTTTAATGTATTGGATGAGGGAGATGAATGTACTGTCACCAAATTTGTGGATAATACAAAGAAAGTTGGGAAGGCAAGTGGTGACGATGACACAAAGAGTGTGCAGAGAGATTTAGACAGATTAAGTTGCAAAAACTAGGCAGATGGAATATACTGTGAGAAAATGTTTGGTTATGTGATTTGGCCAGAACAGTAGAGGAGCTGAGTTTTTTTTTAAATATTGGCCTTTGTTTCAAAGGGAATGGAGTATAATAATACCAAAGTCTTGGTAAAACCATATAAGGCTCCTGCACAAGCACGCCTAGAATACTATAAACAATTTTGGTCCCTTTATCTAAGGAAAGACATACTAGCGTTGGAGGCAGTCTACAGAAAGTTAACTGGGCTGAACCTGGGTTTGGAGGGATTTTCTTATGAAGAGAGGTGGTTTGATTAGTCCAGAGGAAGAATGAAAAATGACATTATTGAAACATACAAGATTCTTAGGGGGCATGACAGAGTAGATTCTGAGAGGCTGTTGGAGAGTCTAGGATCAGAGGGCATAACCTCAGAGTAAGGGGTTGCCAGTTAGTGTAGAGATGAGGAGGAACTTCTTTTCTCGGGTTCCAGAACCTCTGTAGAAGTTTCCGTGCTGGAATACATTTTTAAAAGATCACTTTAAGCTCACAGCTGGAAATGTGGTGAACCTTGATTGCCTTTTGTTACTGGCTAACCAAAAAATGCATATCCAGATATGAAAACTCCTGCAGTCAGAATTAGCTGCTGACACTCCTATCACTTATCCAATCCCCAAACAGGGGTGTATAGTGTTACCCATCAAAGTACCTTCACTTGGGGAGATTGACCAGAAAAACTGCCAGACAAGAATGTTTATGTCTATTTAGTGAACTAGCTCAAAAACTGAGTAGCTTAGTTGCTCAGAAGATAATTCTTATATTTTCAAACAGAAAATACCTCAACTGAATTTTTTTCAAAGGAACTGCTGTTAGTAATATTTTTATGTGCTGATTATTCAGTCGGTGTGTAAACATCAAGTATAATTGATACTAGCACAGTAGAATAGCTTTTCCAGCAATTTTGTCTTGTCAGTTCCAAATCAATTCCATGCAATTATGTTAGACTTTGTCAAGCTGCCGTTTCAGGATGTTGTAGCATCTGGTTAAAATCTCCTGCATGAAGGCAATTTGATGGAATCACATAACAAACACAGTTGGTACAATAGGCTTTCTTGTTATGGATATGATGAAAACCTCATTGCATAATGGATAATTCAAACATTAATTATCAGTGAATTTTAAAATTGAATAGGGTGATAATGTAATATTCTAGTGTTACAACATTTAGAGCAATGGAACACAGACAGTGGAATCAGTCCTTCAGTTTTCATTCACCTGTACTTCAATCTGGCTGAGGCTTGAAGGAAGATGCTTTTCAACAGGAAGAGTTCAATAAACTGGAGGATCAATCACTTGTTTGAACTTCATCTCTAAGTCATTAAGTGAACCTAGTAACAAAGTGTTTACTTGCTGTTTCAGTCAGTATGTAGTACGTAGCAGTCAGGGTGAAATGAAATGTGGAATAAAAGTTAACAAATCTAGAAGAACATAAGTACTTGAATCCTTCATGTAATTAAATATAAGTCCTGACAAACAAGTTTGGACACAATGGGGTGGATGTGCATTTTTCAGAAAAGTGGGAAATGCCATGGTCACCAATTTTAACAGCACAGCTAGCATGGTTTGCGAGGAAGTTCGTTGGGAGACTCTAGAAAAAGGATGTCTGTGTGTGTGTCTGTGTGTGTATGTGTGTGTGTCGTGTCTCAGGAATTCTGGCAGGAGGAGTTGGCAGTCTGAAGATCATGGCTGTGGGTTTGCTTGATGAGTGAGATGAAATGTTCCTCCTGGCACAGGAGTAGTTTGAAAAGCGCTGACACCTCCCTTATGTTGCAAGGTTTCCTAAGCTCTGGGAAAGCTGCTCGTCTTGTGGCAAAGGACTGCCAAACTTACGGACAGAGTATTATTAACAGAAACAATCGTCAGAGGCTTGTTTTTACAGAACAAATCCCTTCAAACCCATCATAATGCAACCAGAAGGAGGAGAGTTTGCTGTGGACTTCATATATCAACCCATCAATCCCCAGCATCCAGCTGAATCCTTTCCCATCTGTCATGTAAGATTATACACAATGTTTCTGAATTCTGATGAAGAGGAGTTAGCGATTTACATTAGGATCTGGCTACAGTGAAGGTTGAATGGATAGAATGGGAGCAATCACAGACTCGGGTTAAACAGCCATAAACTCAAATCATGCAGACACTTCACTGAATGTTGTTATATGTGAGGTCAGTGAGTTCTGCCATAATCTCTGTCATTTTAGAGAGTGACTCATGTGTGGAATGAACTCCTAGAGGAAGTGGTGGATGGGGGTACAGTTACAACATTTAAAAGACATTTAGAAAAGTACATCGAAAGGAAATGATTGGTGGGATATGAACCAAGCACAGGCAGGTGGGACTAGTTTGGTTTGGGAACATGGTCGGCACAGACTGGTTAGACCAAAGGGTCTGTTTCCATGCTGTATGACTATGACTCTATCTGCTGCACATATTGAGAAAGCATCTTCACAGCATGCACATTGATTGATGTTTATCAAAGAACCCTTTTTCTACGGCAGGATCCATGAAATCAATCCACCGCTACAGCCAATGCTGCAAAGAAAAAGACTGAGGCCTTATCCAGTACCTGTTCTGACCTGCAATCTTGTTGGTACAGTGTTAGCCAGATGTTTAGGGAGACTCAATAATTTGTGTTTCATTGCCATAAACTAAGATGAAAGCAAGAGAGAGGCAATTCAATGTCAGTTCTTCCTTGTAAAGCAAATGTAGGTCCTCCTTTGTAACCACTCAACACCGACCTGCCACTTCCCATTATCACTGCAGCTTGCCACTTCAATAGTCTGAGTGCCTGCTACTTAAATGCAGTGGACTAGGGATCCCAGGGACCAAGGGGTTACCTCTTTTGGACATTGTACTTAAATTCTTCTAGAAACATTTCTAAGTAAAAACAAGTTTGTATAAAGAATCTCTGAGGTGGCAACACCCAGCTGAATACCAGGTAAGACAAATGCAGAAAAGATGAGTGTTCTAAGGAAAAATCTAACCAGGGGAGTTAGAGAGCAATGGGACCATGGTGCCCTGAATTAAATCAATTAAGTCCAAAACATCCCAAAATGGCAACTATTTTATGGAAACTCTTAATTATTTCTGTGATTTTGAATATGTTCTTCTGATATTGTGAATATTGTAATTTGACTAATGAGGTAATACTGCACATTGCTGCTGAAACACATTGTGCCATGCTGTGCTATGAAGTAAAATGTGTATGATTTCCCGTGTGATTCAGTAGAAGGAGTATTTTTCTATCTTGCTTGTGCTGTAAGGGAAATACTCAGGTGTAGGTTTTACCTAAAGGAGATTAAAAGATGATTTCCAAATGAATTATTGGACCTACGTTTGTCCATTCACAAGTGACAAGGTCAAACACATACACAAAGAGACATAAAAGGATGTCACCCAAGATCCTAATTAGCCTAAGAATGTTATCCATCTGTGTTGGGGAAGCTAGAGGAGAAGATAAATTTAGAATGAGGCAGGTTGGCACGAATAAACAAAGAAACCACAATTTTCATTATTGGGCTGTATATTAACAAAGATTTAGTCAGAAATATGATATCACCTGTTGCTAATGTTGCAGAAACCAATTTCAATCCATGAGTATTTCCTGTTCTCCAGATGAATTATGTATTTTCTTTTTTTTCAGGTACAAACTTGCTTTTGCCCAGAGTAGAACAGCAAATTTCTACTTTGATGGCTCAGGCTATGCTTTTGTACGTAACATACAAAGGAGAGGGAAATTCAACATAGCAACTCGATTCAATCTAGACATTCGCACACCAGCTGACAATGCCCTCCTGTTACTGATGGTGAAAGGGGTAAGGGCCAGCGTTCAACTAATTTAATTATTGTGTTTTTTTTTCATCCTTTAGAAGGTAAAATACAATTAACCAGAAAGTAAACAACATGGGAAAACTAATTTAATGATTCTCTAGAAATGGATCTTCATACAATGTGAGTGTGTATGTCATGCATTTGAATGTAAAAGTGAATGGGTTGTATGGGATGTTTCATCCAGTGACATGCATAATGGAAATTAGAATTAACGTATGAAACATTCTATGCCTGAATTCATAATCTATTTCCCAATGTTTAAAAATCTTTTAATTAATTTATATTCATTGCACCATTGAACATTGTGAACACTTAGTATACTAATCCACCCACTCCCACCACCTACCATTGAATTGTACTTTAGACCAGAGGCTTTGAAAGCAAACAGACTAATACCAACATGTCAACAGATTAAAAATGGAAACCAGACAAAAGTATCCATGGGGCAAAATTCTGCTTGTGATTTTACCGTTGATCTGTATCCAATATGAAGTGAAAACATCACTACTATACAGGTATTAATGGTAGCTGTATAATTCTCATAATCAGTGTACAAGAGCAAAACATGCCTTTATCAAAAAACCTTTAACATAGGAAAATATGCTAAAAAAACAAGAGAATGCTGAACCAAAGAGGGAAAGATGATCAATGGTACTCTGAAGGGTAATAAAGGACACAGGTTAAAAGATGACAGCAAACACATTCCAGCATTCACATAGAAATAAAGATAATGTGGCACTTGGACCAATCTCAGAAGAAACTGTGAAACAATTTTAATAACTACTAGTGAAAAAACTAACAGTTTATTTGAAGCTGTTCTTGTAATACAGAGAGGTTTTGTGCCATAGAAGGTAGCATCCCTGACTCTGAGACAGAAGCTTTAGGTATGAGTCCTAATCCATGCAACTGATGGTCGTGAAAGTTGCATTCATATTGTGGCCAAATGGTTATTTGATTATCAACATGTGAATCCTTCTGATATTTGACCAATATGAAGAGGAGTATCTCCTTATCAGCCATGCTTGATGCATGATGACTCCCTCAAGCTGCAGCTTTTTTGACAGGTTAGTGACCTGTTCCAGGAAAATCTAGCTATGGGAACAGATGTAAGCATGTGCTTTGTTTGTTTCAAACTCCACCAAATAAAAGTAGTACTTGTAGTGCTATCACAGCCAAAGAAACAATTTGTAGAAGCAAAAATATACATTAGTAGTAAGTTATCAGATTCAAATGAGAAATTTATATCAGTATAATCATTGTTATACAAGACAATGGTTCTAAAGGGGGTTAATGTTCAAGTTGCAATGGCTCCATCCATTCTATTTTCAAACAGTCTGTGGGCGAAGGGAAGCAGCTTTGCTGCTAATTGCATGATTTTTCTGCATGGACATCTGAGGTTCACGTGCAGCAGTGACTTCCAGAACCAAAAATCAATGCTGTGAGTGGTGCTAGCACGCCAATCACCATGTGTGGATCATCAGAGTAGGTACACAGACGTGCAGTCACACAGCTTAGAGGCACAAAGTTCGACTCTAGCTTTCTGCAGAAGCAGATCTATCTGGACCAAGGGTCTAATGGCCTAGCAATTATGCCTGACCAGATATCACTTATTACGATCATAAGATATTCAGATGTAGGAGCAGAAGTAGGCCATTCAGCCCATCAAGTCTGTTCCCTCATTCAATGGCCAATCTGATAATTCTCAATTTCACTTTTCTGCCTTTGCCTCATAACTTTTGATTCCTTTACTGATTAAACATCTGTCTGTTTCAACCTAGAATCATACAAAGAACATTTTTGTTATCAAAAATCAGTACCTCTTCCATAGCTAATCTGTGGTGATGTATCCTGTACCACAGATCCTTCAGTAGGCTTAAGACAAAGGTAAAACAAAAAAGGATTGTTGGAAGCAAACTACCTTGATTCTTACCCAGTACCACATACTGGTAGAGGTGGCAAATCGCAATCATAATTATATTTGTTGTTTGGCGAGTATCAGATGAGTGTTTTCTTTTCGAAATCTAAAAGATTTATTACTTGTATGGTTGCTGTTCCCAGGTCATATGCTTGAGACAGTTAGCAGATCAGTTTACACATTTTTGATAGAGAAAACGTGAGATAATTTGATCCCATTATCCTTCACCTTGAAGGTGCCCAATTGTCCATTTCTTATATTGGTTTTTTAATTCTTATTTTCGATTTTCATAATTAGCAGTTTTTATTATTAAACAGATTAAATTCTGCATCAAACATGTTGACTACTCTAGCATTTTTCACTTATTTGTAATCATATTTCAGGGTAAGTTTGACACATGCTTTCATCCTCTTATTTTAATGTAAGAATGGTTTTGTATGCTTTTTCCAAGAATACGTTCTTCAGTATGGAAATGCAAAATGGTTATATACGCTTGGTTTATGACTTTGGATTCAGCAAAGGCCCCATTGTTCTTGAGGATACTGATAAGAAGAAACGTATAAATGATGCAAAATATCATGAGGTAAAATATGACTACTTTGAAAATTTAAGAGATCTCTCTGATGTGTTATGTTTTACTGTGTGTTTAGTTTATCTGTTAAACATATGGTATTGTATTAAACCAAATCTTTCAATTAACTTTCAAAGAACAGAAATGAAAAGTACTGCAGACGCTGGAGATCTGAAACAAAGATAGAAATTGCTAGAGAAACTCATTTGATGAAGAGTCACCAGATTCAAAACTTTATCTCTGCTTTCTTGCTATAGATGCTGCTCGATCTGCTGAGTTTCTCCAGCAGTTTCACTTTTTGTTTTGAATACCAGAGTTCTTTTGACTCAATTCTTGACTGCAGAAATTTTGTAACTTTTTGTCTGAGTGAGTGGTTTGAATTTGTCAATGAGAAAATGACTTTATTGTGGGACAGACAGTATCATTTGGTACCAGAAGAGTTAAATGTTGAACAGTCAAGCAATCTTTTGCCTAAGTTGATAAGTTCTCCATGTAACTTTTTGAAAAAGGTGAGAAAATAACTTCATTCGCGCATTATGCAAAGGAATCTGCATGTTTAAAGATAACACTTCATGTTTTGCAACTCTTTGATCACTTATGCTTTGTTCCTTAATTCTAATACAAAGCTCAACTGTATGTCACCTATTTATGCTTGTGCTGACAGATTGACTGCTGCTGTTCCCTGTAATGACAATTGCTATCTTTCAAAATGCAGGTTATTTTCAATATTTTTAAGGTTTTGATGTGAAAAGTTTATCTAAATGTATATATCATTTGTTTATCTTGATTGATTGATATCACCCCTCTGCTTGGTATCCTATATAGGTAACGTCTTGTTGTTAGAATTCTCATCCTTGTTTTCAAACCGGTCCATGGTCTTGGGTCCCCCCACCTGTGTAATCCCTCCAACCCTGCAACCTGCTAAGATATCTGTACTCTTCCTAATTCTGACCTCTTGAATGTTTTAAACACTCCATCATTGTTGGCCATGCCTTCAATTGCCTAGGCCCCGAGCTCTGGAATTCCCTCAGTACACTTTTCTACCTCCTTATCTCATTTTCCTCCCTTGAGATGCTACTCCAAATCTACCTTTGACCAAACATTTGGTCATCTGACCTAAAATCTCCTTATGTGGCTTTTGTGAAGTGCCTTGGCCAGTATATTAATTTAAGATGCAGTGCAAAAGTGGATTGGTGATTGCAAGCCAAGTTGAAACAGTGACATGATTCAATTTTTAGATGTCACAGGAGTTTGTACGTCATTCAGCAAGGAGGAGGCATGAGCTGTTTTCCAGAACTGCATAAGGCAGTGAGAGAATTAGTTGCATAATTGTGCTTCAAGCAGAGCTATGGAGCCTACATCAATTCCCCAGAGGTAGACAGCACATGCAGCAATCATGCAGTCAATCCAGCATCATTCAGTTATATAAATTCTATAAGAACAGCCTGTGTATTGTAATCAATTTCCAGTTTTGTATTACTGTACACATACCAACTATTCTGAAAGCACCAACACCTGTGAATGAATTCTAAACTCCTGTCTCCGAGGCATATTATTAAACCAAATTTGTATTTTCATTCAGGTCTCATTCATTTACCACAACTACAAGAAGATGATCCTACTGATTGACAGAATCAATGTAAAAAGTGTTGAAAATGAAAAGAAGAGCATGTATTTTACAGACGTCTATGTTGGTGGAGCTCCTGATCAGGTCTCATCAAGGTTTGTTAATCTGTAATGTAAATATGTCTTTCCTCAACTTCGCTGAATATTAATATGGTGATCTTCAAAAATAATGAAACATTTGCCTAATCTTGGCCCTTCATAGATTATTCTAAATAAAACATCTAAGAACCTTTAAATAACAATATTTCTAAGCAAAATATATCCGTTAATTTAATATTTATTCTTTTGCTCCTCTCCTTCATATTTATGTGTTTAAGTTCCTGATTAACCTTGCCAGTAAAAATAGGATCAATGCCCAAACCATCAGGCAGATCAAACCATAATTGCAGAATAATGGACACTGCCATCATGCTGTACGTAGACTAGGGGGAAGAAAAGTTTTGCATTAAGTATTCTGTAGCATTAGTGACACATGACAGTAAGGTCAGAAACTAAAAATCTAGAACAAGCCCAAAGGGAGAAGAAAGGAAGACAGAAGTTAGAAAGCTGACAATCAGGTGGCTACTATAGCTAAGTGCTTCTCGAGTCCAAAATGTGAAAAAATTAATTGAAGTTCAGTCTCCAGACATTCTGTCTGAAGGAGATGAGTGATGGTAGATAATATATGCACTACTGTTGTAGTGATACAATCTGACTAGTACCACCTGAAGAACCATTAAGCACAGGAATTGATTATGCTAATGGCAGTTAATGTGAAGGCATTGAAATAAAAACTTAGAGGCAAACTGCAGTAATTAGGCAGCTGAACCTTTGGTTGGAAAAAGAGATGTCCTCTTGAATGCCTCAGTTGAACCTACCTCCACCGCACTACCAGGCAATGCATTTCATACCCTAAACACTCACTAGGTGAAAACGTTCTTCCTGAGTTCACCTTTGCTTCTTTTGTAGAACCCTTTAAATCTGTGACCTCTTATTCTTATTCCTTTTCCCTTTACATGTGGGAACAATTTCTCCCTATCTGCTCTATCCAACCCACTCAATATTTTGAAAATGTCTTTCAGGTCTCCTCTTAGCATCCTTCTCTCAAAGGAAAACAGTTCCATTTTCTTCAATCTAATCATATAACTGAAATTCCTCATCCCGAGGACCATTCTTGTAAACCACTGCTTCACTGTCTCCAATGCATTCACATCTTTCCTACAATATGACACTCAAAATTGTACACAATTCTCCAGATGAGGTTTTATACAAGTTCAACATCACCTCCTTGCTCCTGCACACTATACCACTATTAATAAAACTGAGGATACTCTATTCTTTACTTATTGCTCTCTCGCTACTTTTCCCAGCACTTTCAATGATCTGTGTGCTCATATACAAACAGTCTCTCTGCTCCTATAACGCCCATGGTGTGGTTAGAATTGCGGCCCTTGTTTGATATTCTCTTTCCATGTTCTTCACACCAAAATGTATCACTTCACATTTCGCTAAATTGAAACTCATCTGCCAACTTTTTGTCCACTCCTCCAACTTGTCTGTGACATTCTGGAGTTCCAACTGTCCTCAAAGTTTATAATTTCTCCAAGTTTCATGTCATCTGCAAACTTTGAAATTGCCCCTTATCCACTAAGATCCAGATTATTAATATATATCAGGAAAAGCAAGGGTCCCAATACTGAATCTGGGGAAGTCCACTGAAAAACTTTCCATTAGCCTAAAAGATATCCATTAACTCTCACTTTTAGTTTCGTGTCATTCAGCCAACTTTGTATCCACGGCGCTAACATCCCTTTTATTCCATGACCTCTAACATTTCTCACAAGTCTGACATGTCGCACTGTATCAAACATATTTTGAAAGTCCACGTACACCACATCAATAGCATTACCCTCACTGAACCTTTTAGTTACCTCTTCAAAATATTCCAGCAAGTTAATGAATCATGATTTCCCATTAAGAAAGTCATGCTGACTGCTCCTAATCGACACATCTTTTCGCGATTATTTTCTGCACTTGTTTGTGACATTTTAAAGATTTATGCAGTGAACCTACAAGTCTTTTTGGACCTCCACTGAAATTAATTTCATTCTGCTCAGAAAGTACCCTGATCTATCCTTTTTTGGTCCAAAATGGATAACTTCACACTTGCTTATATTGAACTCCATCATCCATAGTTTTGGACCATGCACTTAGTCTATCAATATCACTTTGAAATTTTATGCTATCAGATACACTGTCAACAATCCCACCTAACTTTGTTCCATCAGCAAACTTTGAATATGACTCTCTATGGCATTATCCAAGGCATTAATAAATAGTATGAATAATTGAGGACTTAGAATAGATCCTTGTGGAAACCACCGATCACCTCCTGCCAGTTTGAGTAGCAGCTAATTATACGTACTTTCTGTTGCATGCCACTCAACCAATTTCCCAGCCATGTCAGTAATTTACCCTCAGTTCTGTGGGCTTCTACTTTAGTCAAAAGTCTATTATGTGGGGTTTTATCAAATGCCTTCTGGAAGATCATAAAAACGACATCCATTGACATTCCCCAGTCCATTACCTTAGTGACCTCTTCAAAAAATTCAGTGAGATTTGTCAGGCGTGATCTACTCTCCTTGATTAACTGAACATTTTCAAAGTGTTCAGTTACCTCACCCTTGATGATAGGCTTCAGCAGTTTCCTCACTACAGATGTTAGGCTAACTGGTCTGAAATTCCCGAGTTTTTCTCTTTCACCTTTCTGAAAAAGCAGAGTGATGTACAATTTTCCAATGCAGAGGGACCAACTCCTATACATAGTGAACTCTGAAAGAGTATAGTTAGGGCACCTTCAATATACTCTCCTACTTCCTTCAACACCCTCAGATGGAAGCCGTCAGGTCATGTTTCTTTCTGCTTTGCATTTAGATAACTTAGGGCTCCCAAAATATTTGTTATCATAGTCAGAACATAAATAATGAATTTGTAACCTCAACTTCAGTTTTCGTTTTTTGAGTAGTCTGAAGTCCTACATAGCTACGGATGCTGGATTTCGAGGTTGTCTCAGGAGTTTCCAGTTCCAAAGACGCGACTTCAATATTCTAGAGGAAGACGAGACATTAGGGATCAGCAATGGTTGTCCAGAGGAATCACTTGTAAGTGAATTCTGTTCAATGGATAGGGCTTAGGGCAGTATTGGACCTGGGTTTATGAATGTAACTGATATATTACTTACTTAAAGGCTCCACTTGGGTGTAAAAGTAACACATTTAAAATAAAAATTGATTTTATTGTATTTTTTCTTTCATCAAAGTGCCAACTGACATTGGAAATTATTTTCTGTTCAGCCATTTGATGCAACTCTATATGATACTCTATACAATACTCATATAGCAAGCTGTTGATTTCAAATCAGCTATTTTGAGCAATGCTGAGAGAAAGTAAACAAGGGTACGGATTTTTACAAAATGTCATTTAGTGATACTGCGGCTGGGTGGGCACACTTTCTTACGTAAACACTTCCTCATGGCAAGAACCTGCATGTGGTCACATTTAACATGAGAAGGCTGTTATGCTGTAGCTACCACAATATCTCCCTAAATTTAACAGTACTTTCTGTATGATATGTCTATTTTGTTCCGTATTTATTAATTGACCAAAAAAAGGCCATTCCATTTATCTGGATGCCAAAATTTCTTCACTTCCTAATTGCAATCCTTCACTGTTAGAAATGAAGAGAAATAGGATGGCATCAGTAGGTAATCCCATTCCCAAAAATAACAATCCAACAAGACCACAAACGGAATCCTTGAGATGCTTTTTGCAGCATTTGTGCTGAGGGCCACAAATAATGGATACAGCTACCTCAGACCGTTATGGCAACCACCAACTAAACGCAAAACCATCAGCTGAGTACTGAAAGTTTGCATTGTGGACATAGGTTGGATCTTATAAGTATATATTTCAAGATTCATCTTCCTATCTACAGATGTCCCGCATGGCCTATTTCAATGGGCAGGGTTTCATCTCTTCCAGTGAAAAGATCACACCATTTTCAAACTTCGAAGGAGGCTTCAATTTTAGGACATTTCAGTCTAATGGATTGCTTTTCTACTACAATGAAGGAGTGAGTATCGAACAGAAGTCTGAAATAGAATGTCTAAGTGGAATTGTTTCTGTTTTTTTTAACAATAGTTTTCTTTTTTTTTAATATGCAACTTTTATTCACTGAATGAGAAATCTTCAGTCAGGGTTTCCTTCCTGTTAGGTTGTTTTGTTGATACCACAATAATGGTTGTACATGTATGTTCACATTGTGAAAAATATTAATCAAATGTTATCAGGTGAATATTTAAATCTTCCACCTTAATTCTTCATCAAGGATTATGTGCAAATTATTTTCTCTCATCAGAGGTATCAGATTTTTAAATATGGTTAGTTTGACCTGTCTTTCATTATTGGTTTCGTTATGTTAGCAGCTTCATTACCAATCCCATTTCGGGACTTTTCAGCTTCAATATGAATGAGAGAAATTCACTTTGACAAAGCCATCAAAGGAATGCAGTCTCTAAAATTGTGAATTAGCATTTATTTATTAACATGGCTAGGTGATAGAATTAGCAACAAGTGAATATTAAGCTGTAAGTACATATTAAACATTGAGTTAGATATTATTATCTGAGAGGATTAACATCTTATGTTACAAAGGATGTTCAAGAGTGCTGCTGACTTCTACTTATTGTAATGTGTGTTCAATAACTGATAAAATCAATATTTGAAGTTACAAAGATAATTCCAATGTATCAAGGTATCTCAGAGTTAATTGGGCTATACTTATTATGCAAGACAGCAATCTGATGACATAACTTTAAAATAATTGGAATAAAAATTAAAGGGAACTTCTAACCTTGGAAAAGGAGAGTATAGTTTTCCATCACACCACCAATTCCTCTGCTAAAACCTTTTAAGGATTTTTCCTCGCTGTGCAATATAACATTTTGGCTATGAATTATGTGCTTGAGTTATATGCTTCTAGGAGGTCAATATCACACACAATAGAATACTACCAATGCCTCCCAATGGTAAATCTCTTTCAGTCTGATATCTTCTCCCTCTCCCTGGATAATGGTACTGTCATTTTCAAAATGAAAGAAACAACAATGCAATCAACAAAGAAGCAATATAATGATGGATGGAATCATTTTATTAGAGTAACCGTCTCTCCATCAAGGTAACTATCTGCTTTTATGTATTTGATGTTAACTATAGATATGTTCTAATTCAATGTTATTAACAAAGAAGTTCAAGAGCCATTCCAAAACGTAAAACAAGCTGGGTTTGATTGAATCCAAGGTTTTCTTATCTCTCTGAAGGTGTAAACCACTATTCCCAGTATAATAGCTATGTTATGTTTGGAATCACAGAATTCATTCTTTGAGTTTAATCTTTCTTAGTTTCAGAATTCTGCAGAATTTTATTTTACTTTATTTACTTGTGGGATGTAGGCATTCCGGTTTGCCTGTCCTTATGTGCCTTCAAGAGGTGGTAGTGAGCTGCCTTCCTAAACGACAGCGATACATATGCTGTAGACCCACTATGCTGTTAGTGAGGGAGTTCCAGGATTTTGATACAGTAACACTTCAACTTGATTTTTCCTGATAGGTCACTTTATGCACATAAAGTTTAAGCTATCAACTATTAAATATCATATGTACGCAGCAGTCTCAGGCCTCCAGATTGAATGTTTTGCCATGGTTATTTAGTCTGCAAGTACAAAATTAATATAAAATTTAACAGGGATGGCTTTGAAAAATTTGATAGGCACACCCTAACATAAAGCCATGAGGAAATTTATTCAGTGACGTTGTCCGGAAATGAATAGGATCATTGTAGAAAATGGATTGATGAGACATGCCTCAGTTCTTCACCCTAACTGGGATTTCCCTATTCCCTCAGACCCTGAACCACCCAGTCTCACCCAAATGGGATAGTCATTTTCCATTTTGTCCCATTCTTAAATGTAAACAGTAGCAAGACATAAACAATATTCTGAAGGAGTGACCATCTTTTCCTCTGTGTTACTCCCGATTCCAAGGCCCACAGATGATATTGGTGGAAATTGCTGTGAGATGAACCATGGAGCAGGCAGCCATTGAAGCCATGTAGTCTGTCTTCATTCTGCTCTCAATTATTTATCCATTGAGGATCCTGACAAAGTATAATATCATTTAAATGGAGAATGACTGTAAAATTCTAAATGCAAAGGATTCTAAGTGTTCTAGTACATGAGTCACAAAAGGTGAGAATGCAGATAGAGTAATTACAAAAGCTAATTGTATGCTTTCCCTCATTTAGGAGAGAAAGTAAACATAAAATGAAGGATGCTTTGCTTGCATTATATAGGGAATTATGAGACCTCAAAAACTTTGCAATTTTGGTCTCCTTATTCAGGAAGGATGTAACTGCATTGGAGATAGTTGAGAGGAGGTTCACTAGATTGAAAACATGAATGAGTACATTGTCTTAAGAGGAAAGGTTGGACAGGCTAGGATTGGTTCTACTGGAGAGTTGAGGAGTGACTTGCCTGAAGCGTATAAGATCTTGAATTTGACAAGAGGATGTGGAAAGAATGTTTCCTCTTGTGTGTGAGTTTAGAACTAGGGGGACCTGTTTAAAAATTACACATCACTCTTTCAGAACAGTGACATGGAGAATTTTTTTTTTCTTTTCTTGGGGAGTTCTGTGACTTGGGAACACTGTCTCAGTTGGCAGTGGGAGGGAGTAATTGAATAGTGAAGTTAGATTTTTGTTACACAGGGGAATCAAAGGTTATTGGGGATGGTTGAAAATCAAATTACAAACAGATCAGATATGATCTTATTTAATGGTAGAGCTGGCTTAAGGGGCTGAAAGGCTTACATCAGCTCCTAATACCGAGTTACAAAGAACAGTCATTGGATTTGAAACATTAACTCTGTTTCTCCTTCCACAGGTGCTACCAGACCTGCTGAATTTGTCACACGTATACACACACACACACACACACACACACACACACACACACACACACACA